ATTTTTTATATATATATATATAAAAATATATTATTGCCCCATCCGATACAGCAAAAACTGACAGGAAAAGATTTCCCAGGATGTCTGCTGAGAATACACCCCTCAGGAAAAATCAACCACTTCAGGAGTGCCACACTCCTGTTCAATTTGAAAGAGCAAGAAGAAAACTGCACTGCTGTAGAGACAGCTACCAGGCAGTCTCAGGTGCCAAATGCAGAACCAGAGGCCGAATGGCAAGGAAGGCTGTGAGCACGGTTTGTTGCTGAGTGGTTCTGTGCATCACCGGCCTCTGGTTGTTCCTCTGACTTGAGAAAGCAGCTTGCTCATTATAGTTAGTTACAGAGCTAGAGGGCATGGAGAGACTCATTCCAGGCAAGTCATCAGCAACGGGTACAGTCACATGCATTGCAGAGAAGAGAAAACAAAGTGGAGTGGAGGGGAAGCTTTCCGCTGCACTCTGAGTTGCTGCACAGGCCCAGCAGGCGGCAGGAGGACACCAGGAGTGCAATGCAACTCTAGTTCTCCTCTCTGCTGCCATTGCACCTGGGCCCTCCCCAGATAAATAACGCTATCAGGTGAAGTTCAGACTGGGAGCATCACTCCCAGAGAGAAACTTGGCACAAGATCAGCAGAAGAAATAAGAGGAAATTAACATCCATTAAAGTCTTACCTCATCTGATCCTGGTCGCTTCCCACACTCACCTTCCCCAACAACAGTTAGCTCAGTTTCTGTGACATTTTCAGCAACACTAGTAGGAAGAGTGGAGAGAAGGCAAATTTTTATCATTCCATAGTGAAAATATTACTGCATTCACTGTCAGTGTCCACGAGACTCTCCATGGTAAAGCAAGAGTCTCCCTCACCACCCTAGAGATCTAACGTGGATTCCCAATTTCCAGGACAAGGCTGATGGGGCTCTGCAGCTCATTAACAGGGCAACACAGGGAGCAGAGAGGCAAAAATGTTACCTGGATTTTACATCGATTTCTTCCTGAAGGAGCTCAGATTCAGCAGCCTGCTGGGTCTTAAAATCCTCCTCTCCCTCAGTCAACGTTACTTCTGTTTCTCTCAGCTCTACAGTCTCTGCCAGGGAATGTCCAGTCACATCTTCTCCAGAAACATCTTTGTTTTCCTGAGGTATTGATTTCTCTTGACACATGCTTTGAGAAGAAACCTGAGGTAGTGTGCTTACAGAACAGCCATCTTCCTTTGCTGAGCTGCAACTTTTGGCTTTAGACCCACCTTTGGGGAGGGAAAAGAATTTGGAAATATCCTGCGATTCTTTTTTGGCCGCTTCTGCAAGCATTTGTTGCTTCTTGCTAGGTTTGGACTTCTTAGTAGGGCTGTCCCAAAGGGCAGCTTTTGTGTCTGGGCTGGGTTGCTGTCCCTTCTTTTCAGGAAGGAGTACTTCTCTCCCAGCACTCTCACACATTGCTTTGGTCGCTATTTCTTTCTTCTGGAGATCAGGGTTTCTGGTGTCCACTTCCAGACTGCAGTTGCTGTTGTCTTGCCCATTTGGACAATCTACTTTTATGACAGGCTTTGCATCACTCTTCTCCTGGATCTTCAGCAGTTCTGAAGCTGTCTGGAACAAGCTGGATTTCTTTGGAAATCCGGCTCCCACACGCTTAGGTTTGAACTAGGGAGAAAGGAAGAAGTAGTAGTTTTGGATGTGTGAGCATTAAAGAAGCCCTGCGTAGAGAACTCTGAAAGGAGCTAAGCTTCTGTACACAACCACCAGTGTGTACAGCAGTAAGCTGGGGAAGGCTCTAAAATTGACTCATTATCATAACCATCAACTGAGACACCAGGGAAATGGATTAGGTTAAAGTCACAGGCCTGCAGTAAGGAAACTGACAGCATCCTTGGTTAGAGCAAGATGAGAAAATCTTATTTGATGTATGGCCTGCACATAAATTGTATTCACTAGTAGGAACCAGCATGACTAGTTGATCTCACTCCAAAATCAAAGGACAGACAGGGAAAGCAAAACCAATTGAAATATACAGCTATGGCCCCACAAAGAGCTTAAAATAAAAATTATAAGAAAGCTGATAGACAGAATGCACCATTCCCTCCTTGTCTATCGCATCTGTACTCACTCACCGAGTAAACCTGGGATGCAGGGAGGAAGTCCTCTTCTGCTGGAGACCCAGATTTTGTTTCCAAGTTGCTGTTGCCACCGGTTCTGGACCCAAAGACTGAGAACAACTCTCCTTGCTTTGAGGCTTTATTGATTTCTGCTACCTGAAAAGGGAACATAAATATTCTGTAGTGTACAGAAATCTATGCATGCTGCCTTTGTACATACAAAAAGGCATAGTGGCAAAGCAAATGTCTCTCCAGGGGAGAGACACCTATCTCAAGAACAGAAACATCTTCAAAGAGAATTATGGCAACCAGCTAACCTAAACCAAGGCTCGTCTGTCAGTGACAGTCTGAGAAACTCCCCATTTCCTTTATTGCCAGACCTAGGGGATATCTGAATAAGCTTGCACTGGTATGTACATTTCCAAAGCCTGTAAAGCCAACAAAGATGTGAAATCAACACGATTCTGGGCCCTCCTGGAAACAAAAATCAAGAAGAAAGATTTGGAAGACATCCAAGGCAAAGCAGAGCTTCTCCTTCATCTTTCCGACACAAACTCTACGCTATTTCCCCTCAAACTGAGGCCACACCATGTTCAAGGGAACAACAGCAACAGGGACATATGGCCCTACCTTCTTTAGCACAGTTGCCTTGTATGAGTTAGCCATTTTACTGGTTCGGAAAGCCTCATACTCCAGGTCCACAGCACAGGCATGCGGGTCTGACCTGTAACACAGGCTGGGGTGATTTCTGGCAAGACACACTTCTGTATTTGCAAAGAGAACACTAATGCTTAAGCATCTCCCAGAAAGTACAAAATTCACTCTCCCTGGTGCAAGAATAAGTGATAACTTCCAATTATGTCCTAAGGCATGCATGGGGAATTGCTGGAGAATGGAAAGGGTGGTGAAAGCAGTTTTAAATCCAAGTTTACTTGTCCAGTTGCTCAGTTTGAGAAGTACACTATCCCCACCTTGTGGGACAGGGAAGAATTGCGACTCCTAGGATCAAGCTGATTTAGCAGACTCGTTTAGCAGGAATCCTCTTATCTGATCCTGAACATCACTACAAGAACGATGCCGTTAAGTGAAAACTACATCCTTGGACCAAATAAACAAATAAACCAAATAACTTAAAAAGGCATTCCCTGAGAGTGGTAATTTTGTTCAGGAAAGAGCAAGCCCTGTGTTAAACGACTCAATATGCTACCCCTTGTCTCTCATCTAATCTCATACCCTTTGCCTCCTGCTGCTGGAACATTTTGATTGATGCTCAAAGCTTCTTCCAGCATCTTCAAGCAGTGTTCCCGTCCCTAGGAAACATTGGATACTCAGACATGCTCTACAGAAGTCATACTGCCCCTTGGACTTCCATCCCTGAAGGAGTAAGGACAGGGCAGGCAGAATCTTGGTTGTTCTTTGCAAGTCAACAAGACTGAATGTTAACCAGCCCGTCTTACCTTCACTGTGAGCTTAGAGATTCTCCTGCTGGAGGCATCCTTCAAGGGGCAGTCTGCACCTACCACAGAAGAGGCATTTGGAAAAAGGTATGATAGCAGGGCTGGGGCTGACGGAGAACATCTCAACTGTCACTGCCTGGCATGCTCCTCCCTGCATAGTCACCCTTTTTACCTGGAGAAGCAACAAACTCCAAAAGAGCTGGCAGAAGCCAAAGTGAGATTTTTCTCTCTGGATGAGAACATCTACTTTGCTAGTTTATGACTAACAGATTTCCAAAACCTCTCCTACTTCAGGAAACCCTTTCTCAAGGAATCTCAGCTCTTAGGAAACGCAACTCTTTTCTGCTCCCCACAATACCAACCAAAATAAAGAGAGGCTGAATAGAGTTAACATGACCTACCAGGTATTCTTTTACAATAGCGTAAGAACTGTGTTACTAGCCAGGGCCTCAAGTAGCGCAGTTATAAATGATGAAGTTTTTCAACAGTTTCCTTATAGCCCAATTACATACTGCTGCATAAACACTGCAGAAATAGCCTACAAAGTCAGGTTAGACAGTGTTTTCCTTCTCTCTTGCTTATTTGGAAAAGTTGTTCAGAAAGATGCATTCCACATCTTCACCCCAACCAAAGCTAAGCTCTGATCCATCTCCTGCAGCCAAGCTTTCACGGCCAAAAGCCTAACCCCTGTGCCTAGGGATTGATCAGTGTTGATGCTATACAAATTACACGCAGCTGCAAAATACAAGACTTTCTTCTCCCAAAGAAAACCCACTATAAATCAAAGAAGATATTTACTTGGAGGAACAAAATCTTCCTTTTCTGGTTCTTTGCCCTGAAAGAAAACAAAGATCAATCAAATATTTCCATTCCTGCAACCCACATGCAGGTCTAGAAGCACAAAATATTTTATACCCCTGCTCCAGGGAAAATTAATGCTGAAGTTACAAAAGTACTATGAAGGCACCAAAATAGGGGAAAGAAGAGAAAGAATGAGAATCAAAGCCAAAAGTTCACCTTTGCTATACAAATACACAAGAGAAGCTGAATGGGGAAATCTGGTTTTACAAATATCAAAGGTATTAAAAACAACAGGATCCTCTTGGTGAGCATCGCAGAGAAATCAGTACATGAATAAGCCGCGTTTCTTCATATTACAGGACTGACCCAGAAAATGGAGAGCACAGCAAAAGCAGAGGTACAAAAAGTAAAGAACAGAACAAGCAACAAGCAAGAGATGCAATAATTTACTTTGACTAGTGCCAGGAAGACTTTGCGTGTGTAAGACAAGCTCACAGCAAACAATCTGTGAATCTCTTCCAAATGGTATCAACTCACTTTGCGCAGACTCATCTGCTTTTTGTAGAAGTTGTTCCACTCCCGTTTCCGACTCTCTTCATTGGCTTCATCCCCATTCCCACTGCTTTCTTCATCATACCTGGATAAGGCAGGAAAACAAGAGGAACAAACATTTCTGTAGCTGCAGCATTAACTGGGGGACAGGCTTTGGAAAGCCTAGGTCATCCCAGCATTTACATATGATGATGTATTTCACATCCTTTCTGAATTAGTTTCACTACCATCCCTTAACCTGGACATTAGTGAGTATCCTCCAAAAATTCATGGGATTTGTTAATCCTACGAACTAGTAAGCAGTAGCAGGAACTAGTAGCACATAACTAGTCCTCTGAGAATAGAGGGCTCCATTTCAGCTCTGCCAGCTTCTCCCATGGAGTTGAGTTGTCACTGCCTTGTGTCATGTGCCCCATCTGTCAGTCATTACTGCCCTTGGAGCAGAGATGTCAGAAAGGGAAAAGCATCCATCCCTCACCCTCAGTTATTCACAGACTGTTGTATTAAATGAAATCCCCATCACTAATAAACTGAAATGCAGCAGCTGATTCTCGCCAGAGTAGCCCAAGAGTTTACTGCCACAGCTGTCACAGCCAAAACTTACAGGCTTCACAGATCAGAGCTTTAAGTCCATTGACTATTACAACTTCCAAGGCAAAGCTACAACCATGTTAGGAGAGGCTCAATAAATCAAATGGCAAACAATGGGCTGTACAACAGCACTGGCCGTGTCTTCTCAGGTCCTGAGATCAAACATAGGCTTAGGTCACAAGTATACCAGTTTCCTGCAACTCAGCTGAAGAAGAAAGCTACCAGTCTCAAGCTGTTCAAGGTAAAGCTGGGCCAGCAAACACCACTGCACATCCCGGCAGAGCTTCATGGGCAGCACGGGCAGCAAAACTTGCATCCTGGCAGAGCTGCAAAATCGCTGCATCTCAGCCAGAGAACAAGGAGGAAGACAAGTTGTCATCTCCACACTGCCAAGCATTTTACAGAATTAATTATGTTTCCCACTGCACATCTTCCTTTTGCTGTCAGCCTGATAGGGAAACACTAAAATTTAGCAATCTGCAGAAGCAGCTGGCACTGGCACTTCATTTCATCCTCTGTGATGACCAAGTCCTGCCAGTGGCCCTCCAGCCTGCCGGCCCACAGACAGCCATGCTAAGTCAGGAATGAACTCTGGATCGTGTCATACTTTGCTGTCACGTTGGTTTCAATTTAAACATTTTTGATCCTTGTGACTGTGAATGGGCTGAGCCCAGTTACTGCTTTCAAAAAATTTCAGGGTAGCTTCTTGAACCAATTACATTCTGCAGGGCAATTCTTAGGTCAGTCAAAACAGCTTTTGGCTCTCTGGGACATGAATGTGAACGAGGCTGCCAAAGCGTGTGGAAAATGAAATTCCAGCTCCTGCTGCCAGGAAGTTACAGGAAAATACCACCACACAGAAACATGTGCTGAAAATAGGAGTGGCTGGGCCTGCAGCTGGGAGATGCTCTCTTCTTTCTGACAGCTTCTATGTGCTAAGTTTGAGCTACCAAGTACAGACCTGCTAAAACCTCTGCAACCTCTTCTCCCGCCTTCATACAGCTCTGGGTCATAGCTATCCCAGGAGGAACCTGTGGGCCCAATGCAGGTTTTGCTCCAGCTGTTGGTGCAGCGCTCCAGTGACTCCAGTTGTCTTTTCACTGCCCCTGGGTTCTTGCAGTAATCGCAGCACTTGTTACAAGGTGGGGTGACATCGCCAAAGTACTTCGCTATTGCAGCATGGCGACATCTAGGAAACAAAAGGGAAAGTGATCTGGTAATTATTTTTATTGACAAGATCTCCATCCTCCAAATGCAAGGTGTCTTTTAATAAAGACTTAAGTCTTTGTTTGCAGAGAACACCTATTCCAGCTGGAATCACAGGGATTAAGCCCTGGAGCAGAACTGGGTTTCTGTTTCTGGCACCCTGGTTAAGGTCTCTCTGCCTCCACTTCCCTACATGTAAAACAAAGCATGGCATCAATCTCTTCTGCTAAATGCTTTCAGATCTTTGAGATCTGCAACAGGCACAATGGATGAAATATGCAGTTCTTAATTCTGCATCATTGGCCAAATACATTCCATGTCCAAACAGAATGGCTCTAGGATAAATATATAAAGAAGCCCTGTGGATCCCCACACCTCAGAGTATCTCTGTATATTTCACGGTGGAGAGCTTCTAATTTTATTGTTTGTGGTTTGAAGGTGAACAAATCTACATTTGAAGAAACAGGAATGTAAATTAAGTCACAGAAATAGAGCAGACCGAGGTCACAACAGAGCACTAGTCAGATAATACAGCCTGGGACTCAATCTGCTAACACACGCTTCGGATCAGCAGCTAAATTTCTAGTAGGGTCCTACATCCATGAAAACCAGTCCATTTGCTCATAGAGTATTGCACAATCAGGTCTACCAGGCTTAGCAAACTAGCCATGTGAAGATGATTAGATTCTTCCAGGAATCTCCAAAAGATTTCTGGCAGACATCAGTCTTTTGGGTATGTAAAAAAAAAAAAAAAAAAGTTTGGTGACAGAGACACGCTTGTTAGTAATACAGGCAGGAAGTAATTTCTCTTCTAGAACATTCCCTGACTTAAACCAGAGAAGACACTGATTTTGCTAGAGAAAGAAGAACCAGGCAGTTACTTTTTTTTTTTTTTTTTTCTTAAGAAAGTGGGCAGAGGTGGCCAGTTGTCTCTCAATCAAAACACTGATAGTAGATACACAGAAACACTTATCAGGCATTTAGAGATCAAATCCTGCAGCCAAGCAGCATCAAGGGTTATTTCAGAAGAGAGTTATTTTACTGCAAGGAAGAACAAAGTGGAGATTTTTCTTCTCTAGCAAGGAGCGCCCTATTTGGCTTACTAACTTCATCTGCAAAAAGTGGGTCACAGAGGGGAAAACTAAGAGAGTGAGCACTTCATTTGTTCTTATTACAAACCCTTTAAGGCATGTCTGAAATTGCCAGAGATCTAACAAATCTTCTTAACTTGTATGCATGCGTGTGCGTGTTTGGGGAGGAACATAACTGTATGTCTACCAAAGCATGACAAACCCTGCAAGGGTCTACAGCAGCAGCTGGCTGGCTCATTCCCACGGCCTGAAAGGTTAATTTTTCAAGAGAAGAGCGAGTGAAGCAGCAAAGCAGCAGGTTACAGACTACTGTCGCCAGAGCAATGAAATGTGTGTGCTGAAGTGTGAAGGGCCTGGCGCTGCTCAGGTAAGGAGGGCTGCAACAGGGTGACGCTGCACTGCACGGTCTGGGGCACTGAAAGCTTAGAGAGGGCTACTACAAAGCTGCCTTTATATCCCCCTGCAGAGCCGCACTGACTCACTCTCGTCTTGCGCTCAATGAGCTCCTTTCACATGGTGGGGAAGGGTGGGGGGACCGGGATGGGGACAACACATTCGATCCCCTTGTCCTGCCTTTCCAAAAGAACTACTGGCGCTGCCTGTCCTGCCAATGCAACGTGACTATAGAAATGCCAGCGAGCTGCAAGTCAGCTTTTTGTTTCCCCAAAAGAAAACAGGCAGGCATTCTCATTAGTCCATGTCTCTTTCTCTCACATGCACTGATCTGTATTAGAGTTAACCGAGGCATACAGTAATGGTCAAGCCCTCTCCTCACTCCTACAGCCTAGTCACCAGGCTTACACTGGGGAGGGACATCCATACACACCTCTGTCCCTCAATGCAAACAAGAGAGATGCCCCAAGGGAAGGCTTTGGTGGAAGCAGAGATCAGCTCTGAAGTTGCTGGAATTGACAGTTTTGGTTTCTAACTCATCAGGCTTGTAAAGCCAAGCCCCTTCCACCTAGCCTCCTGTAACTGCCTCTATCTTCCTGCAGAATTACCCAACTCGGGGCCACAGCCCCACTTTAGCCAATGGTGCTCATGAGTTGGGTCATAACGGACATTCAGCTGCAGAACTAAGATTGCAGTCCTATAATTAAAGTCAAAAGGGCAAAAACAGAGTTGCAAATAGGGATGCTGGGGAGAACCACTGGATTAATGCTTAATTGCATATAAGAGGTCCTGAAACATAGTTGGTTATGCACTAACATGTGATGAGAAAACTTCCTGAGTCACATGAGCACCTGACTAATGCCCACGAGATGGAGAGCTGATTTACATAAATTAATAGTAGTTTGCATTATTACACGTCTTAAAATTATTTCATCTTTTAAATATGCAATTGTATTATTTGCCTCCCCCACCCTTCAACAGGAGTATGTATGAGCTGACCATTGGTCTTTAAAACATCTAAACAAAATCATTATTTCATTTGAGACATCCTACCCTGATTCGACATCATGGGATAGGATGAAGAGCAAATAACAATCAAGTTTATTAACGTGTTTTTGTCTGTGGGAATACTTTTCAGGAAAGTGCTAAACTGACCACACGGCCACCTGCACCATGCCTCCTTTTGCTACTCCTTGCTTTTGTACACCAGGTAAAAAACAGGAGCCCTATTCCTGCAATTAGTAGAAGCAGATGGACAGTCAGAGAAGCAGCAAAGTCACGTATCCCAAAATATGCCAGAAAAAAGCATTCCCTCATGTGACCCAAAGAAGGGTACACAGTCTTATCAGAAGAGCTCCCTGAAAAAAACCAGCCCAGTCTTGGAATAAAGCCAAGAAATTAAAGCATTAAAAAAGACAAAAAACATATGAGGACAAATTAGGTACTGAATCAAATCAGTTGCTGAACAAGAGCTATTTAATGAGCTTTATCAAATAGAAAAGCAAATTATGAGGTTGATGAGAAATAATCATTTTGCACCTGTCTGAAGGACTGTATCCTTTGTAATATCATCTGAACTTCAGCAACCCTCTGAGAAAAGACAGTGGGTGTCAGCTGTTACCAGAATACAAGCAGCAAAAACCATGAGTAAATGACTTGGCCAAGGGCACAGAGAAAATTCACCCCCCCCAGCATCATCCCTGCTCCCCTGTCAGTGGCAGACTGGGCTGCACTGTCCTTCCAATTTCTTGCTCTGCCCCTTTGAAGAACACAAGAGAAAAGCCCTTTCCCCCCCGGGAGCAGGAAGGAAACTGGGCAGCATAAAGAAAGTTAATTGTTTTAACACACACCCAAACTATCACAAGGAGAGAATCAATTCAAGTCTCACTCCAGAAAAAAAGCTGTAATTAAAAAGGAAAAAAAAAGAAAAAAGAAAAGATCTTGCAAGGAGGAGATGCACAGAGGAAGTGAGCAACAAGTGCTGGCACTTGGGGAGTTTGCACCAGCGGCTGGGTCAGCTTGCGGTAGCTCCTCACCGCCAGCCCTCCCTCTCTGGCACACATGTAACACGAAACTTCGTATCTCCAGGACAACCAATAACAAAAAAAAGGCAGAGACAACAGCTGGCTGTCAGCAGCAGAAGAGAGGAGCCGAGCGAGGAGCGAGACACAAGCCAGGATGAGGGGAGAGATGACGTGAAAGTTTAAGAAGACAGAAAAACAAGAGGAGCAGAAGAGTTCGTCGTGCGGCTGGGGTAAGGCTGAGCTATTGCTGGTGTTCGGTCAACCGTACCACCTTAACGTTCAGCTAGTTAGCAAGTAGCTGCAGCTTTTGTAGCTCTCCGTAGGGTGAACTGCAGAATCAGCCATTGAGCAGAGCTTGCTAGCCTGAATTTGTTTGCAAGGGACACTCGGGAGCAAAGGTAGTGAGAGAAAAGCTTTTAATAGGATCGCAGAAAGCTGTGCTGCAGCCGTACTGCAAACAAAAGGATCCAGCCTGCAGTCTTGCGTTGCTTTGACAGAGCAGGAGTAAGCAACTTCTTTGCTGATTAGAAAGGCTGGCTGCTCATTTTTCTGTTGCTGTTACGGAATGTGACCTTAGCTGATAAACACATCTAGCACAGGACATTCACCCCAGTGATGACCTGATAGATTAATACAGTGTGATATAGACCGACAAGAGAGCCGGTCTCGTCCTCTGTACCAGTAGTGTATGTGCCATTAGCAAGTAGCTTCCAGCACAGGCAAGCGCACGTGAAACCAAGTGGGTGCCAGCCACAGTGTTTCTCCAGAGCTCCTCACAGCTGGAGCTAAGTTTTATCCCTCAAATCGTGAAGCAGAGAGCTTAGAAAACAAACCCTGGTCGGGGAAATAGCATACTGTGCAAGTTAAGCATCTGTGTCCAATAGAAATAAATGGAAAGATTTTACACCGCTTCTAACAAGAGCATTTAAAAAAAAATCAGTTAGTGTATCAGACACAGATGCTGGTTTACTATTGAAAACAGCATGAAAAAACCACTGCTGTGAAAGAGAATACATGCATACACATACATGGTCCATGGTTTACAGTAACAACACTGTCAGGTCTGAATGCAGTGAGAAGGGAAGGAAGAGGAAAAGGATCATCCCCCCCCCAAAAATACATGAAATTATAGAATCATTTAGGTTGGAAAAGACCTTTAAGACTCATAGAGTCCAAGCCTTGGTTTTACATAGAGAGGTGTCCCACAAGCTGTGCTCCCATCTCTGTTTTGCTACTGGGTTCGGGAAGGGGGGCTGGCAAAGAGACTGACCAGACAAGCCCCTGTTTTCTGCCACCTGAAGCAGATTACTCTGTTTGGAAGCTCTTGCAGCTCCTAGCACTGAGCTGAGACCCCTTGCCTCTTCCAGAAGGTGCATGGGCAGTCAGCTGTTTGCAAACGGGTAGGGAGAGAGGCAGAAAGCCAATTCTCACAGAAAGATGTCTTCCCGATCCTACACATGCCTGTAGGGAGGAAT